TAGAACAAGATTGGTCGCTTGAAGACAAACCATGGACCAAGTCTAGATTTGCTCTTTTTCATATGATCAAGCAACTATCTGCTTCCCAACCCGCACCAAAGCATTATTTGCAAGTGCGTTATGATTATAGAGTCTTTAATGGTTACAAATCACCTACTCTTGGATCAGTGGGATCTAGGTGGATTTGGATGCCAAAAATTACTAACACAAAAGGACCCAAACAAGTCTGGGTACCTAAAAGCAATTAATCTTTTTTGCAGGAAATTTGGCATTTCGATAGCGGATGCTCTCGACATATGACCGGCAATAAAGCTAGTCTAGTTGAGTTCAAAAGTATCGAAGGACCAAAAGTAGTTTTCGATGGAAACGATCGATATGGAATGACAAAAGGAATAGGCGCAATTGTGAAAAATGGTCTACGAATTGATGACATATCTTATGTCGAGGGATTAAAATTCAACTTGTTCAGTACAAGTCAATTTTGCGACAAAGGATATCTCGTAGAATTTTTCAAAGACAAATGTCAAGTTAAGGACGAATCTACGAATGAAGTTGTACTTGCCGGATCAAGAAAGAAGAATATGTACGTTGTAGATTGGACTACAACAAAGGAATCCGTATGCTTGATGGCAAGCAATTCGAATGAAGCTAGTTGGGAATGACACAGAAGGCTAAATCATTTGAATTTCAAAACCATCAACAAGCTTGCAAGAAATAAGCTAGTCGAAGGACTACCCAATATTGTGTTAAAAAAGGATCAAATATGTGACGCATGCCAGAAAGGAAAACAAATCAAAGCATCTTTCAAAAACAAAGCTCAAGAGTCAACATCAAGACCCTTAAGTCTACTACATATGGATTTATTTGGTCCAGTAGACCCAGTAAGTATAAGTGGTAAGAAATATACTTTGGTTATTGTTGATGATTTTTCCAGGTACACATGGACAATATTCATCAAGAAAAAGGATGAAATTTTATCAAAGTTGCCAGAGCTATTGAAGCTACTACAAGTCGAAAAAGACATGAAGATTGCAACAATACGAACCGATCGAGGAACAGAGTTTGTGAACAGAGTGATTCAATCGTATTGCAACTCACAAGGAATCTTACATCAATTATCTGCCGCACGAACGCCGCAACAAAATGGCGTAGCTGAAAGAAGAAATCGAACACTCAAGGAAGCCGCACGAGTCATGATAGCAGCCGCCGGACTACCAAAAAGATTTTGGGCAGAAGCAATCAACACGGCGTGCTATACTCAAAATCGCAGTCTAATCTACAAGTCTTATAACAAAACACCATATGAATTATGGAAAGGGAGAAACCCCAATCTCACCTATTTTTATACATTTGGTTGTAAATGTTTTGTACTTCTTAATGGAAAGTCTCACTTAAAGACTTTTGACAAGCGAGCGGACGAAGGAACATTCTTAGGATATTCATCTACCAGCAAGGCGTATAGAATATTCAACAAATCAACCATGGTGGTAGAAGAATCGATTCACGTTGTGTTCGACGAAAATCACGACAAAAATAGCAAAGACAATGGAGGTAATCATGATTTAAATAATTCTAATGATACTTTCGAAGATAATGTGTTGCAGGAGGTAGAAGAATCAAGTGATATGGGCACTCACCAAATTGAGACAATACAAAATGTGACACCCGAAGTATCACTCACACCTACAATCGAAATTGCACCCGGAATTCCAACGGAAGAAGTCCTAGTAGATGAACCCAAAGATGCATCCGTCAACAATTCACAACAAGTGGAATCACACTAAGTGGTATTTCAACAAGAAGGAAACTCTGAGAATCCAATGAGTTCTCAACCAAATCGAAAGTGGCTAAGAAGTCACCCACATGACTTAGTCATTGGAAATCCGAGAGACGGGGTTAGAACACGATCATCTACAAGGGACCAACAAGATGTACCAACAAGGGATGCAATGTTCTCATGTTTTCTATCACAATTGGAACCGAAAGAAATTGACGAAGCTTTAGCCGATCCAAGTTGGATAGATGCAATGCAAGAGGAATTAGATCAATTCAAACGCAAAGACGTGTGGAAACTTGTTCCAAGACCAATGCACCAAAATGTAATTGGCACTAAATGGGTCTTTAGGAACAAAGCAAACGAAGACGGCGTCATTGTTAGGAATAAAGCAAGATTAGTCGCGAAGGGGTATTCACAAGAAGAAGGCATTGATTTTGATGAGACATTCACCCCCGTCGCACGACTCGAAGCAATCCGGATATTCCTAGCATATGCAGCGCACAAGAATTTCATCGTATATCAAATGGACGTAAAAAGCGCATTTCTTAATGGCTTACTTGAAGAAGAAGTTTACGTCGAACAACCACCCAATTTTGAGGTAAAAGACGTTGGTGATCAAGTCTACAAATTAAAGAAGGCATTGTATGGGTTAAAACAAGCTCCGCGAGCTTGGTAAGACACCTTGTCAATGTTCTTAATTAGTTGTGGATTCACCAAAGGTCTAGTCGATAAAACCCTCTTTAGAATTCAAGAAAATAATCACATTTTGTTAGTACAAATTTATGTTGATGACATTATTTTTGGAAGTACTGATAAATCTTTATGTGAGAAATTTTCTGAGCTCATGCAGAACAGGTTCGAGATGAGTATGATGGGAGAATTAAATTACTTTTTGGGACTGCAAGTCAAGCAAATTGAAGAAGGAATTTTCATAAATCAAGTCAAGTACACAAGAGATCTTATCAAGAAATTTGGCATAGATGGAAAATCCTCAGTCAAAATTCCCATGAGTAGATCTCAAAAATTGGATAAAGATAATGAAGGAAAAGATATCGACCAAACGATGTATCGAGGGATGATTGGATCGTTACTATACTTAACCGCAAGCAGACCGGACATATCCTACTCGGTTGGCGTGTGTGCAAGATTCTAATCAAAGCCTAAAGAAGGTCATCTGATTGCAACCAAGAAGATAATTCGATATCTCAAAGGAACAATCAATGTGGGATTATGGTATCCCAAAGAAGGAGATTTTACACTAAGTGGTTATTCAGATGCAGATTTTGCATGTTGTAAAATAGACCGAAAAAGTACCTCAGGGACATGCCAGTTCTTAGGGGGAAGATTGGTCTCTTGGTTCAGCAAAAAGCAAAACTCCATAGCTACGAGCACTGCGGAAACCGAATATATTGCAGCTGGGAGTTGTTGTGCACAAATCTTGTGGATGAAGCAACAATTATTGGACTATGGGATTAAGTGCGAAAACGTTAGCATTTTATGCGATAATACTAGTGCAATCGCCATAACTCAAAATCCGGTGCTTCATTCGCGAACCAAGCATATTGACGTTCGACACCATTTTATCCGAGACCACGTCAAAAAGAAAGATTTGAAAATCGATCATGTTCCCACGGAGAATCAAATTGCCGACATTCTCACAAAACCGTTGTGCGAATCTCGTTTTGCAACTCTTAGGCATGAAATGGGAATGATCGAAATGAGCTAAGAATTTCTAAACTCTTAATTTTGAAATGTGTTCGCACTTTGCATATAATGTGTTATTTATGTGGCTTACGTGATCATAAGTGATTCAATATTTTTTTTAGCATATGTTATATTTGTGTGTACGTGTGATATGTATTTAGTTGTGTACATGTTTTTCGTAAAATTTATATGTGCCTAAATGTGTTAATTGTGTCTTACAAAATTTGCGTACATGTTTTCGTAACTTAATTATGTGAAATTTTGTATTACTTTTGTTTACATATTTGTCACGTTTTTAATATGTGTAATTTAATTACTATCTAAGTATGCTCTAATTACTAGTTTAATTAAGTAAAGTTTTTTTTTTTTTTTTTGGATATGTCGTTAAGGGGGAACATTTTTTTTTTGTTGGGTCACCATATATTAAGGGGGAACCCTCAAATTGTTTGCATGCATGTTTGCCTAAAATTGAAATCTCAAAAGTCAAAAAGTTAGGCTCAGAGCTATGGAAAGTCAGATTCATTTAATTCGCTTTGAAAATTGAAAGACCTTTTCAGAATATTAGGTATATATCTCTCAGTCTAAAATTTTATCACCTTTATTGAAACCTGAAATCGAAGTGATAATATTTATCTGGAATATATTTATTGCTCTAACAGATTATTTTCGAGATTTTTTATCTGATTTGCTCCAGGTTGGCGGTTATTTGAAACACAATTTTTGGCGCCATGTACCCACAAATGGAGTATTTAAATCTGAGCTGGCAAATTTAAATCATGTGGAAGGTCGAATTTATCCTCAAAGAGATCAACACTCTCTCTCCATCCACTAGAGGGAAAAGAAGTAATTTCGCAAGGAAATTACCCTCAATCCTAATGGGTAGAAGGAGGAGACCCAAAAAGTTGCAAGATTGAACTCAATCTCTTCTCCACCTTCTCCGGCCGGGTTCTCGAAAAAAAGGAGGAGCTCAAATTCTTCCATTGCTTTCACACCCATCCAAAACCTTCTACTCAAAATCATTCTACCCATAAATACCCATTACCCAAACCCAAACTCACACTCAAAAAAAATCTCAAAAACCAAATACCCAAAACCATCAATGTTTTCGGACATTACCGCCGAAAAACCCGAAAATCTCACCAATTTCCCAACTCAAGTTCTAATTAATGGAGGTTGAACAATTGGAGACGGAAACAATCACCACCGGAGGAACAAGGAGATCAAGCCATGTGCTTAGTGGGATGATTCTAGACATCACCGATTTCAACAAACAAGTTCAAGACAAAGCTTACAATGACTAGTGTCTTTCTTACTGCATCATTATTTATATAATTTTAATTTCAGGGATTAACAACTGTTATCCAAGAGCTATTTTCGGATTCAGAGCACCGAAATTGTGCAAGGCATGTGCATGCAAATTGGAGTAAGCGCCACAAAGGAAAGGTTATGAAGAATCACTTTTGGATGTGCGCCAACAACAACAGAAGTTCAATTTCATGAACAACTAAAAACCTTAGAAATGAGAGACAAAGAGGCTAAAGCTGACCTAGAACGGTATCCACCTAAGTTTTGGTGCAAGGCTTTTTTTAGAACAACAAGTAAATGTGACATTGTTGATAACAATATATGCGAAGCATTCAATGGGACTTTGCTTGAAGCAAGATGCAAGCCAATAATTCCCATGCTTGAAGACATTCGAGTGCTTGCTATGAGAAGGATAGCCAAAAAAATGAAGTTCGTAGACACTTGGAAAGGTAGATATGGACCACTTATTATGAAGAAACTAATTGCAAATAAGAAAGAAAGCATTGGATGGAAGGTACATTGTTTATACAATTTTTTTTTTTAATAATATAACATTACATTTGTTGGGATTTAAATTTGAGTGGTAAATTTTGTTGCTAGGTTGATTTTAATGGAGACGATGGATATGAGATTAAAAAAGGTCGAAATCATTTCAAAGTGAGGCTTGAAAATAAGACATGTTCGTGTAGATCATGGGATTTGACAGGTCTACCTTGCCCTCATGCTATATGTGCCATCTTCGACAATGGCAGGAATATGGAGGATTATCTTGATCTATGCTACTCAAAAGAAGCATATCAAAGGACTTATGCACGTGCTATTCTACCGATGAATGGAGAACTCTTCTGGCCTAAAACAAATTGTGAGGAAATTTTGGATCCAATCCCAAAAAAAATGACAGGTAGGCCAAAGAAGAAAAGAAATCGTGAGGAAAATGAAGGTTTATCAACTGCTAGTAAGAAGACTCAACTAAGTAGGAAGGGTCGCATAATGAGATGTTCCATTTGTAGACAAGAAGGGCATACTAGAGCAAAGTGTGATTCTGTTCGAGGTGTTTTGGGTTAATGTTTTGGCAGAAGAGTTTTTTTGGGTTAATGTTTTGGCAGTACTAGATTAACAATATATTTATGCTTATCAAATGTTATAGTGTTGCAATTAACAATGTATTTTTTTATGGCAATGCAAACTATATTAACAATATATTAATTTCTGCTTAGCAATGCAAATCTATATTCTATATTAACATTATATTTTTACTAGTTAGTGAATACAAACTTTGTATTATATTATTCGTGTAATTTCTTAAATATTAAAATTTCAATGTATTTTTTCTGATTCAAAAATGCTGCAAAAAATCGCAAAAGAGAGAAAATAAAAAATGTGGCAAACGACCGGGAAAGAGAGATAAAGCGCAAAATAGAGAAGCTAAAGTCCATTTTTCTATATTAATTCGAATACAATAAAGTATATTATAAATTTGTATACTACATTAATTAAATTATTTATATAAACTAGACTAAAAGAGCATTTAATTTGTTAATTAAATGATTCATAAAAAGTAGACTAAAAATATTTAATTTATCTTGTGCAGAAATGAAAGAGAGAAGATAATTAAAAGTGTTGCTAATGAGATTTGAACCCATGAAATAAGCCTTTTATAACATAAAATTTAGAATTCAACCAACTAAGTTACTTAACTATTAATGATTTTAACATAAATATAGATTTTATGTAATATTTCATGCTATATATGTATACATATATATAAAGGGATGGGGTGGGGGAGTGGGGGCAGCTGCCCCTACTGCCCCACATAGGCCCAGCCTGCCCTTGCCCAGAGCCCACGCTTGGAAGGGGCCCTCTACCTTATGTTATTACCTTTAATATACAGTATAGATCTTCAATATAATAATATAGTATAAATTCACGTTCACGAAATTAAAGTCTGTCGAGTTGGTTAGTTTCACGTTTTCTGTTCTCAATGTCCAGGAATCGAATCCGGAAAATGTGCTATAGATGTCTCATAAAATAAATTAAGATTCATTAATGTTATTAAACTGAAATTTATCGAATTTGGTAGAATTTATAGTTTGTATGCTTAAGGTCAAGGAATCCAATTCTTTTATATGTTAAATTTCCTCCATGCTCTTTAATAGATGAATTTAGAGATATTATTATACAGTATTAGAATTGTAAAATTTATTTATATTTTTAATTTGTATTTAAAAAAAATAATTTCTAATTATTTTTTTATAATTATAGTGAGATTTATACTATAAATTATTTTGTGATTTATATCAAAATTTGAATTTAGTTTTATTCGAGTAATTTATTATTTATATTTAAAATATGTGTTATTTTGTGAACTTTATAATGAGTTATTATATGTAATATATTTTGTGATTTAGTTATGAAAAATATCTTAAAAGATAGTTTAATTTTTCTATAAATTATTTAGTCAATGTAGTTTAGAAGTCATATTATGCGTCATCGTATTCGATCAAATTAATCTTTTATCCAATTAATTATGTTTCATATTTTATTATGAATATCTTTAATCACGTTTAGAGTGTTTTGATTTATTACTTCCAATAATTAAGATTTTATGCTATGCTCTTATTTGTAAGTTTTATTTTATAAATTGTTAAAAATTACTTTATTATTTATTAAAATAATAATGTCATTTTCTATAAGCTTATTGGTTTTAAATTATTTATTCATTTTTATAAACTATAATTTATTTATGAAAGCACTGATGCGATTATTGATTATTTTAAATTTAGAAATGTATCTAGACTTATTTTCATGTGTATATATAAATGTTAAAATCTTGTGGATTTTATTTCAAATTATTTGAAATTAGTATTTTTTTTATTATTTAATTCAAATTTTAGTCATAAAAATATCTATTAATTTAATATAGGGCCCATTTTTGTTGCTACGCCCCGAGCCTATAAAATTATAGGACCGGGCCTGGCCCCACCCCCACATTGGATCCGCCCCTGATCTTAGTGTATGTGTTATGTGTTTTATATTTTGAGTTTTTGTGTTTTGTGTTATAAAATTCTGCATCTTAAAAGTATGAATTTGTAGTTGAAAAAATTAACAATTGTGTCTTATATTATGAATTTGTGCAAGGATGGAGCCAGGGGGGGGGGGGGGGGCAGTTCCCCCCTCACACCACCCCCACCCCATATATAATCTTTATATGTATATATGTATATATAGTACATGATTTAGTATTAGTATAAAAAAAAACTATTAAAGTCAATAAGAAATGAGTTAGATTAGTTGGTAGAACACATATTTTTGGTAATAATAAAGGTTAAGGGTTCAAATCTTTGGCATGGACATAGTTTTACAGTTTTTTTTTACTCCTTCCGTTATGTTTTATTTTATCCGTTCATACTTTTTCGTCCCTCAACCGAATTTCTGGCTCCGTCCCTGAATTCTATTGTAAAATTATATACTTATAAACACAAATTTTGTATTTAAATTAGATTTAAAAAATTAATAATTAACTAATTATATAACATGAGTATATGTTTTGTATTGTGATTTTTTGTATCTTATATTATGAAATTATGTACCTTACTAAATATAAATTCTGTACTTTTATTGTTTTGGTATTCACAATACTACGTGACCTTGCTACATGATATAAATTGTCTTGCTTTCACGGATATATATTTCATTATGGCAATGGCAACTTTAGGCTATGCGATGCATGACCCATGCCTCGGTTGGCACGCTGGAATGCCGGATAGAGCTGATGGATTTTACCTTAGCTTGGGTTTCAGATTACTTTCCAGTATTCCTTCAACTCGATCAGGTATGTAGAATCACTAGAATGAAGCTGTAATCCACCATTTCAGGACAATTGTTGAGATCAATTAGCCCTCTCTGTCTATGGTATGATATGATTGAATATCACAACAACAATTTAAAATATAAATCCCACTAATCTTTCAAAGTTTTTGAAAATATTGAATATCCCAAAAATATTGTTTAAGTGGAGATACTTAACGGAGTAAGAGCGTCAAAATTGATTACACCAAAAACAAAAATAACAAAACTTATAGATGTTTGATGGAATGCCTGAAAGAAATTCTGTGTGTTTTGATTGTCGTAGTACTTGGAGCTGGGGAAATCCATATATTCTGAGTGCCAAAGTGCTACAAAGGTACTTTTGCTTTTGGATTTCTCTATTACTTTACCTCCCTTGAATTTGAGCTAGGACTGTTTGGCAATGGCTTATATTTCAGACCTTTAATTTCCATCAAGGCTACTTGTGAGCTTGAGCAGCCAGGTTTTCCCTTCCCTTTTAATTCTTACATTTTGTTTTCCTTTTTTCCATAGTGTATCTCAAGCCATCATTTTTGCAATGTATGGTATGGATTGGTAGAAAATGAGGGGAAAGGAAACAGCTATGAGAAGAAAATGAGGGGAAAGGAAACAATGTATGGTATGGATTGGTTGGGGAATATAATTTTTGGGGTTGGGGGTTATTTTCTTTTCTTTCTCTTTCCATTTCCACCCATCCAAAATATAGAATTACAGAAACAACGCATGGACAAGAAATTAGTTGGAAGACAATAATACAAATCTATAGGAGATAATTGGCTATCAAAGATGGTGTATGAACAAACATCAAAATGTATACAAGAAAAGAACAAATCATGTTGAATACAGGTGGATTGCTCTTTTACTTTACATAAAGCTGTGTTTCTACATCTTACATTTCAGAGAATTTATTTATTTATTTTTTTTTGTGCAGAGATGAGACAATGGCTTATTTTTCAGTCATTTCCGTCACGCTACTTCTTGAGCTTGAGCAGCCAGGTTTTTCCTTTCTTTTAAATTCTTTCATCTCGTTTTCATTTTTTTTGCATAAACAAGCAAGATGCAAGAAACCAGTGAAGATAATATTACAGAAAGAAAGCATGTGCAAGAAACTATTTAAAAGACAATGAATATAAATCTGTAGGAGATAGTATGCAATCAAAGTTGGTTAATGAACAAACACCCAAATGCATACAAGAAAAGAACAAAAAAATCTATTGAAGTATATTAGAAGTCAAACATTTAGAGTAGTGTTGGAAGTTGAGGACTTGGAAAGGGAAAAGAAACTTATCTTGGTCCTGATAGAACTGATGCTGTTGGGGTATATGAGTTGATTACTGCTCTTGAGCTTACTGTGAGTGGGGCTTCAAGTTCTGTTATATTTAACAATCCATAGGTAGTGATAAACTCTAGCCCCGGCCCTCCTTCTAGTACCTTGACAATTACAGACATAGGAGGTCTCCTGTTGTGAGCCTGTAAACAACAAAGTGCAATCTTCATCATCTTTTCTGCATCCTCTTTGTAGCTATGCTCATCTTCAAAGTGTTGGTCAATGAAATCAAATAGCCGATCTTGTTCAGCCCTTTCTTTCACTATATCAATTAGCGGTTGGGATTGACGGTGATCACAATTTCTCCTCCTGCTTATAGTTTCTATCATCACAATTCCAAAGCTGTAAACATCAATTTTTTCAGAGATATTGGTCCCCTTGAACAATTCAGGAGCTAAATATCCTGGAGTTCCCTTAAGAACAGTTAACACTTGGCTTTGATCCCTAGTCATCAATTTAGCCAATCCAAAATCAGCAATTTTGGCATTGAAATTCTCATCCAAGAGAATGTTTTGGGGCTTTATATCAAAGTGAATGATTTTTGGATTGCAATGTTCATGAAGATATTCAAGCCCTTTAGCTAAACCAACAATGATTTTCTTCCTCATTTCCCATGTTAAACTGTTTGTTGTTTTCTGTTCCTGAGAAAAAATCCACTTGTCTAGCGAACCATTGCACATGTGCTCATATACCAGTAACCTCTTTGATTTTTCCCTACAGTACCCTATCAACTTGACCAAATTAAAATGATGGATCTTACCTATTGTATTGACCTCAGCCAAAAATTCTTTTAGACCTTGGCTCTTTGAATCTAACCTTTTCACTGCTATTTTTGTTCCATTTTCAAGAACCCCCTTAAAGACAGATCCAAACCCTCCTCGGCCAAGCCTTGTTTGAAAATCACGTGTTGCAGATTTCAATTCTGAAAGCCTGAACCTCCTAAATGCTCCAATAACTTGGTTGTCTATCTCCTCCTCTTCATTTACTTGATCATCTGCTTCCTTATTTGACTTCTTGTGCAGCTTGTAGCGATAACATGCTCCCGAAAAAATAATAACTACTAAAAAGGATAGGGAAAGCACAATCACTAAAATGCGGACAAAAGATGATTTCTTCACATCCTCAACTCTCTGAACCCTGATGAATGCATAAGAACTACCACTGCTTTCGTTTCCTAATGTTCTAAATGAATATATTTGAGATTCCAAAGAGCAATTGCCAAGTGACATGTTATTCCAATAGTGAAATATGGCAGCCTTACATGAACAAGAGCTCAAACATGCCTCTTTGCAGCTTTCTTTGTTGACATTATATCGCTGTGGCACAAAATTGAAGTATGTAACATTTGTGAGCTCCAAGAAAGTATGTTGTTGTACATCCTCACATGACAAAGGTTTTACTTGTTTGCATCCCTTTGTGGGCAGCGAATCATTTGAGTGCACAAAGTAGCCTGCCTTTCCACCTGGACAACTGCATTGCCCATTTGAGCAAATCCCAAGATCACCGCATGATGTCGGATATGAGCACTCGCCCAATCTACGATCTTCTAGAAAATCACCTTGTATCTCAAAACTAATGTTGAACTTATGAGAAAGAGAGGGTTGATACATGGTTAGATGTCCATTCGGTTCAAGAACTACATAGGGCAATCCAAGTTGTATGTCAGCATAGACATTGAATTGCAACCCATTTGGGAGTTTCTCAATGAAGGCAATATCCTTAGATAGATGCTGCAACTTTAAAAACTTAGAAAGTTGATATGTTCTGTACCGTTGGGGTGAACTGACACCGATAAATGCATCAATCCCTTCCGGAGTTGCAGTTAGAAAAAACTGACCTGATGCCAAACTGGATGAGGAATTGCGAGCCACCAGTTTTTTGCCTACTGAAAGGACCTGATTAGGAAGCAATGTATCAGTTGGATGATCAAAGGACTGCCACACGGTGTGACCAGTGCTATTCTCCAGTACCAAATTTCCTTGTGTTGTTAAACTCATCTTCTGGACCAAAAGCCCCGAAGTATTTGTAGACCAAACAAGACTTCCATCTGAATCTTTCAGAAGCAGGTTCCCTTTTGATGTGAACTCAAGTGTGGCATTCTCTCTCACTGGGTTGTCTCTATTTGCAGACCAAAATATAACCGGTGGAGCAAGTAGATTGATTGAGGACAAATTTTTGTTGGCACTGAGAGCAGTATGTGTTATTTTTAGTGAAAAAATGCCAAGATAAAAGGTGTTGCTTCTATTGCCTTTACTTCCATCAGTGAAAAATCCAAAACCAATAGGAGGATTGTCGTCAATAATTGTTGTTAGCAATACTGGCCTGTATGTAGTGCCATCAGTGAAAACCCAACTCCTTTGCTCAATAGACAGATTGTTCTTCCAGGAATTGGAATTGTATACAAAAGGGCGTTGAAACAGATAAGGGTACTGTCCTGCTGCGTTGCCTGGCGGATCATAGAGACAAAGCAGAGTAACTTGGGATGAACTTTTTCCAGTCTCAGTAGAGTTGCATGGAACCGCAGCACATCCTACATGATCTGAGCTATGCCAAACTATTTGAGTATAGTGCCTACACTCTCGTCCACCTACACAAGAATTGGAGTTGAAGTCATACGTATCCTCCTCGCCAATCCAGGACATCAGAATTGAGATATCAGCAGGAATACGGTACTCTGTGTTGTCATTGCCTGTGCCTCTGCCCAAGTTCTGACCGTATCGATTGCTCTGTGGGTCTGGATAACATTGATTTCTGCTGTGAAGTAGTAAGTTTTTTGCATACTTCTCTAGAGAACTGTCCCATACCAAAGGGCCGACACCAACTTGTCGACGGGCATTGTTATGCAAGTCAAGAATAACTGAATTATCAGCCCAAGAGGAATGCATTGTTGCAATAAAAATGAAGCATGCCAGTAGCGCTGCTTCCTCCATCATAATTTTTGGTTGTCGTAGCTCTAGTGCTTTCGTGGATGTTTCATTATGGCAATGGCAACTTTAGGCTAAAGATAGATAGAAGAAAGAAGAACAGTGGAAGACCACTCCCTTTTGAACACTGAAATTTTCTTTTAATTTCCCATGCATGCCCCGTTTGGTAAGCTGGATAGAGCTGGTGGATTTGACCTTTGGTTTCAGATTACTTTCCAAGCTTTCTTCAACTCTGGTGTATAGAAGCTGTAATCCACCATTCTTGGAGAAGTGTTGAGATCAATTAACCATCTCTATTAGAGTTGTCGAAACGGATTGGTGGGATAGAGTTGTTGAAACGGATTGGTGGGGCAAGACCCGCCAAAGCACGTCATTTTGGTAGAACGGGCTAAAAAGCCCATCAAAATTCCGGCCATAAAATTCAAAGCCGGCTCCACTTTTGGCGTGGCGGGACTACTCTCTGGTATGATGATTCTTGTTGTAGCATTGGGCTCAAGTTAGAGTGGCAAATTATACCGTGGACTATGGTCCAAAACGGTGCCGTTTCTTTTAATGAAAAGAAATGGCACCCGCTTTTTGCCGTTTTACGTAAAATAGTTCTGTTTGTATAATATATTCAGTTTCATTTTATATACACTGCAGTTTCATTTCAACACAACTACAGTCTCATTTCGATATAACTATAGTTTCATTCGACATTATACACTCAAATATGTGAAACTGTTTTTCAGTTTCATTTTATATACACTATAGTTTCATTACAACACAACTACAGTATCATTTCGATATAACTACAGTTTCATTGGACAATATACACTCAAATATGTTAAACTGTTATTCAGTTTCATTTTATATACACTGCAGTTTCATTTCAACACAACTATAGTTTCATTTCAATTCAATTACAGTTTCATTTGATAATATAAAAACAATATGTGAGACAATTTCATTTTAGATACACTGTAGATTTATTTTGTAATTAATACACCAAACATACAGACTCCGTTAAGATGTAACGGCAATTGTTTCTTTACTTAAAGAAACGACGCCATTTTTGGACCATGGTCCATGATATAACGACTGAGTTAAAGTAGCTCAACTACAGTACAGTTCAGCTTGTATTGAATGAGTTAATTACAATATTTTTCAGCTCAGCTACAATTAGTAGTCTGTTTCAAATTACATTCAAACTGCAATTATATTGAACCTCATAAAAGATAGATTTTTGTTACGGAATATTAGATTTTAAAATTAATTTCATGGGGTTCTATAAATTATTTTCTGATTTTAAGTTTGTTGAAGTCGTAACGCTTTGTGTGTGTATATATATACAACATGATTTTTGTATAAAAGGTGAGGATTAATCACAATCACTTATTATGATTTATTAATAGTTGAAAGTTTTAATAAAAAAAAAAAAGAAGTAATTTTATAAAATGAACCTCATCTTTCTTTCCCTTATATTTTAGTAATAATTCTCAACCTTTTGATCTATCTCGATGAATAAATCAGATCATATTACTTAATACTTTTCACCTGAAATTATGTTCTGACATTAATCTCTCCTTATATATATGTGTGTGTGTATGTGTGTGCGTGCTCACGTTCTCTCATTATAACCTTATAGGTGAAGCAAAAGAGGTCTTGGATTCAATCCCACTCCCGACCAAATCAGTAAAGAATTGTATATAAAAGTGTAAGATGGATTCCACTGAAATCACAATCAAGCTTTATAAGTTATCAACTTATCATATCCATTTTGTTTATATTCATTCCATTGATATAGGCTAAAACTCATTTGTGGGTTTAAAGTATTAAACCGCGGGTTGAAACCCAACCTAACCCAATAGTTATAGTTATACATTATATATGCAAATCTATACATATATAGTATATATATAATTACATGTATACAACAACTCTAACGCGCAAATTATACTGTGCAACCGAATGTCGTTTTGGTTAAAAAACGCGCGTCCCACTTAAAAAAGAAATCAAGTTTGATTCCCGGCAATAGCATTTTTATATATCCATAAATTCATAACTATATATTCACAAATTCAGAACTATATATCCACAAATTCATAACTATATATCAACAGTGAATGAATGAAGTAAAAATTCACAATATATCCATAAATTCATAACTATATATCCACAGTGAATGAATGAAGTAAATATCTACAATGAATGAACTAAATATCCACAATGAATGAACTAAATATCCAGAAATTTATAAATATATATCCAGAAATTCCTAACTATATATCCAGAAATTCATAACTATATATCCACAATAATTTTATTGCCGAGAATCGAACCTAATTTTTTTTTTTAAGTGGAACGCGCGTTTTTAGTCAAAACGACGTCGTTTTGCATCGTATGCACCATGCACATGGTGCATTCAGTTGCACAGCATAACTATTGACTCTAACGAGGCTTGACCAAAACTAAACCATATATATTAGTTTTGAAATAGATGGTCAAATGATGAGAGTCTTAAGAATTGTATCTGCGTGTATTCAATAATAATTACAACAACCGTAAGATTACAACAAGGAAGATAATATGTACAAGGAGAGTCCTATTACAAACATAATAGACCGAAGTAGAGTCCTGAAGTAAATACTATACTAATTCACTCCCTCAAGCAGATGCTGGACAAGGAACAACGCTTAGCTTGAAACACAACTCAACAAACCATGACCCTGGCAGAGGACAGAGGTTTATTAAAGATATTGGCTACCTGATCTTTAGTGAAAATTCACCTTTAGTTCACCAGCAGTCACATGTTCACGCACAAAATGGTAATCTATCTCTACGTGCTTCGTCCGAGCATGAAAACAGGATTAGCACGCAAATAAGTTGCACCAAGATTATCACACCAAAGCACTCAAACAGAGTTAAGAGATAAACCAAGTTCACGAAGCAAAGACTGAACCCAAGCAACCTCTGCAGCTACGTTAGCTAGAGTCTTGTAATCAGCTTTAGTAGAGGAACGAGCAATGGTGCGATGCTTCCTAGACATCCAAGAAATCAAGCTTGATCCAAGGAAAATAGCAAAACCAACAATAGACCGCCTATCTATCTGACAACCAACCCATTCAGAATTAGAAAAGGCATGGACGGTGGTGGCCAACGAGCCTGTCAGACGCAAACCAAGATCTAGAGTACCTTTAACATAACGCAGAACCCGTTTCAAAGCGGAAAAATGCTGATGAGTAGGACTATGCATGAACTGACATAGCCGATCACAGCGAAGGAAAGGTCAGGCCGAGTAATTAGCATATACATTAAGGAGCCAACCAACTGCCTATAAGATGTAGGATCATCAAGCAAGGAAACATCACCAGGAATACCTGACACAGAAGTAGACATAGGCGTGGCCAACGGCTTATAGGACTCCATGCCTGCCTTACGCAAAACCTCAAGCATATACTGGTGCTGAGACAGAACAACATCCGAGCCAATATGAAGAAAGAACCGAGGCTTTTCAAGGTCCCTGATCTTCTGTTTTTGAAAGTGCATTGTGCCAAGGCACTAAAATTGCAGTGAAGGACACTATGAGACTAGATCACATAAAGAATTCATTTATGACAGAAGTGGCAACAAAAGAAAGCATGGATCACGCAAATTAATAGGTTTTGTGTTGCAAAAACTATGTTTAGGATACTATCCAGTTAGTGTGGTTTCCTCTAAAACTGTTATTACACCCGTTAATCCAACATTTCTGTCACATGTCATAATTATGCATTCTTGAAATATTTACTTTCATGAGAAATTTGATAATCTGGCATTGATATATGCCATGACAGCAAATAATACTTTAATAAATTCTGAAACACTAATTTAAAAATACATAATGGGCATTGGACTATTCACCCAATGCACGTGTGGTAACTAGCATATATATATATATATATATATATATATATATATATATATATATATATATATATATATATATATATATATATATATATATATATATATATATAGTGATTTTGCAACGTTTAATCTTAAACTTTCAAATTGACCATCTGTTGTCCTTCGACTTTGAAATTTAACCATTCGTGGTCCAAGTTAATAATCCATGGTTGTTCAACTATTAAATTTTAACCAATCATGGTTCTTTCAAGAGGACTAACCAACAATTCTAGGTTAGTATTTATTATATCTTTTGCATTCTTTTCAATAATATATAACTAAATTTCTACTGAAATTTGTGAGATTTACAAACGATTTGTACGGGTAATTGTTTTAATAGCACTTAAGTTGAATAGCTTCCATTTTTTGTATCATAAATTGTATCAATTGCACATCTATTTGCATTTGAATGCAGAATTTTTGTACTTTCAAGTGCATGGTTTTGAGCTTTCAAGTGCACATTTGTATAAAATTTCTTTTACAGCTTGTTTGGTTCGCAGGAAAATATTTGAAGGGAAATGGAATTGAAATTCCATGGAAAATAAATTCCAAGAAAATAGATTCCATTGTTTGGTTGGTGAAAAAGAAATTACTGGGAATATGAATTTCATTGTTTGGTTGAGTTTGGAATGGTAAGGAATAATGAGTATAATGACAAATATAACCCTACACAACAATAATAATATAATAATAAGAGTAATTAATAAAGAATGATGAGAGTAAAATTGTCATATTAATTTTCCATGGAAAAGGTTTTCCATGGAAAACAAAATACCTAGGATGAGCTAGGATTTTGTTTTCCTCATTCTCAAGGAAAACTTTTTCCAATGGAAAATGTTTTCCATCAAACCAAACAACATAAAACATCATTTTCCTTCACTTTAAGGAAAACATTTTCCGGAACCAAACACCCCCTTAAAGAGAGTCATTGATCATGGTTAACTACATTTTTGAACCAGAAAAAGCATTCAAACGTATATATATATATATATATATATATATATATATATATATATATATATATATATATATATATATATATAAACCCACACACATGCACGGTTTTTAATATTGTAATATTTTAAAGCTGTAATATTAAACCAATATTTTAATATTGTAATTAACTCATCATTCAATAAAAGCTGCAAAATAATTTAACTGTAGCTGAGCTGGTTTAATTTACTTGAGCCCAATTCTGCAACAAGAATCATCATACCGTACACAGACAGACAGACAGGGCTAAATGGCCAATTGAACTCGATACTTCTCCAGAAATGGTGGATTACAGCTTCTACATACTATTGACCAAAAGTAATTTGAAACCAAAGGTCAAATCCACCGGCGTGCCAAACGGGGCATGCTTGCCAAGTTAAAAGAAAACTTCAGGGTTCATAAGGGAGTGGCTGCCATTTTTGACTAAAAGGTTTGTTTTTAAATAATTTATAATTAAATTTTATATACGGGCCTAAAATTTAAATGGGCACTACTTCAAGATTAATTTAAAAGGTTTGTTTTTAAATAAAAAAAAAATTATATGTTTACAAAAGTTCAAAATTATTATTTAATTATTCTCAATTAATTCATACAATCTTTTAACTTTATATATATTATAATTAAAGGCTCTTATTTTTATTTTACCCCAAACCTATAAAATAATAGTACCAACCCTGCATTCTACATACCGATCGAGTTGAAGGAGTCTTGGAAAGTAATCTGAAACTGAAGCTAAGGTAAAAATGTAAAATCCACCACCTGTATCCGGGGTGCCAAACGGGGAATGCGTCATGTATCGCATAGCCTAAGTTGTCATTACCATAATGAAATATATCCGTGAAAGCACGACAATTTATATCATCGACCAAGGTGCATAGTATTGTGGACCATGGATCAAAACGACGAGTTACATTATTTTATAATACAAGACACATACATATGTTATATATTTAGATACAAAATTTGTGTTCATAAGTACATAATTTCACAACACAAGACATAAAAATTCATAACATGAGATACAACTACTAATTTTTTTCAAGTATAAAATTCATACTCTTAGGGGCCGTTTGGTTCACGAAATGTTAAATTACTTTAGGGAATGTTAGATTGCTGGGAATGTTAAGGGGCCGTTTACTAACTGGAAATTTCTGGGAATTTCCGGAAACTGGAAAATAGAAAACAGAAAACATGTTTACTAACACTGTTTTCATTTTCAAAACTGAAAATAATTTCTGAAAATTTCTGAAAAACTGAAACACACTTAAAAACTGTTTTCAAAATAGAAAACAAAATCATCTATCATCTATTTAGTTATATGTCACTATAACCACATTACTATGATTACATTCATTATCATCTTATTTTACTTTTCACTATTTTATATCTTTTCTACTTACTTTAGTTATTTAAACATAATTTATTTGCTTACACTTTAAAGTTAGACATTATTTACATTATCAAAATTATGAATTAAACTCTATATAATGTTTTAGATTTTGATTGAACTCAATATATTATTAGTTCGAATATTTTTAATTATGTTACATCATAATACAAGTTCGGTCTAGATATCGGATATTGAAATCTCACATATATTAGAATTCAGAAAACATAGAACAGTTATATGTTAGTAAACAAGTTTTCTAAACAGAAAACAGAGAATGAAAACTGAAAAATTAGAAAACGAAAACAGAGAACAGTTTTCTGTTAGTAAACGGACCCTAAATTTCTGTGTTTGGTTAAAACGGAGGTATGTAATATAATCCTGTTTGGTTTAAGGACACACACACACACTTTAATACCCTTAACATATTTTCATATATTTTAATAAATTTTAAAATTAAAATAAATAAATAAGATAATGGTATCATATATAATTACAAGATTTTAAAATACTAACTAAAATGTCAAACTTGAGAAACAAAATTATTTTATAAGCTAACATGATGTAATAAAAATAAAAAATATAAATAATTACAAATACAATTATATATATATATATATATATATATATATATATATATATATATATATATATATATATATATATTAATAATTAGAATTAAAATGACAACATTTTATAAATATCCAAGGTAATCGTAGATAACCTAAGAAAGGTAAGGGAATCACATTCCCTTCAAAATCCTATGTTGAGGGTATGTTCCATTCCTTGAAAATGTTATATTCTCTAAGATAATATGAACCAAACATAGGAATGTAAGCTTTGAAATGTCACATTTCCTTGGTTATGTTGTATAACTTGAATCAAACACCCCTTAAGGTACATAATTTCATAACACAAGACACAAAAACATACAACATAGAACACATACACATGCACCAGGTCTATAGTGCATTGTGAACCCTAGTAAATGGTATAATGATTGTGAAAGCATGTACTAGAGCTACGACAACCAAAAATTATGTCTTCTCATTTACATATAGCCCAAACTTTTCGGTTCTTTATACTTTTGTCCCAAACTCCCTACTACCCAAGCCCAATCTTACTTTTCCTTCCTAATCTACTACGAACCACTGATAAATGTTCATTTTTAATATATTGAAGGTTCATTTTTAGGTAGTATACCTAGAAATAAACTTTTAGTTTTTAGGTAGTATACTAAACATGAATTTTCAAAAAATGAACATTCAATGTATTAAAAAAGAACATTATATTAATGATCTACTTTACAAGGTGGACCATTGTCGTCATACCTTGACGAATTGGTCTAGGCCCCATAAAAACTATAACTTATAGATAGTATGGCTAATTGTGGCATGAGTTATTACACACATTTGCTAATTTTAAGGCCTCGTTTGGTTCGCGGAAAATATTTGAGGGAAAATAGAATTGAAATTTAATGTAAAAGAAATTATCAAGAAGATTGATTCTATATTTTCATTTTTTGGTTGGTGGAAAAGAAATTACTGATAATATTGATTTTGTTGTTTGGTTGGGTTGGAATGGTAAGGAATAATGACTATAAAGACTAAAGTGCCCTTACACAATGATAATGATAATAAAAGTAACAAGGACAAAATTGTCTAATCATGTGACACTTTCTTACCAACTTCCATGGAAAACAAAATATCACCTCTCCCATTGAAAATTTTTTTCCTCAAAACTAAGGAAAATATTTTCGTGTTGAAAAAGTTTTTCATAAACCAAAGGTAAGAAAATTCCATATTTCTCAAATTTAAAGAAAACTTTTTGATTGAATTTTTTTTTTGTCCATCCTATTAGGATTCTATGTATTTGAGTTTGATTATGATTCCCTATCCCAGTCTCTCTGAGACTTCCTTCTTATATATATACCTATAATATGTACATTGTATTATTCCATTCAATACACAACTCTATTAGCTCTCATATGGTATCAACTAAGCTAGGGTTTTCTTTCCAATGGCTGACGTATTTGTTATTCCTCTGAATGGACCGTTTATGTAACGGGAAATACTTGGTGTGCTCCCATTTTATACTCCCAATTTGTACTCCCTCTCACATGTTCTTGATGTAGACACTTTTCTGTGGGCCCACATGATGAAAAGAACCAATCCTGATTTGCCACCTTAGGGAGTAGAATTTTGGAGTACATGTATTAGAA